TCCTCAAGATTACAATGCCGGATCAAAAGTAAGTTTGACGATGCACTCAGGAGGAAGGTGCGCTATGAGAAGGGCTCAAGCGAATTACAACACTCCCACCTACTCAACTTGGCCGGAGTTATGCTAACTAATATTGAAAAAGACGTACTGTGCAGGGGCTTGAAGTTTGGAGTCCCCTAGTTCCAGAATGGACAAGGAGATTGTGCAGGCAGAATTTGAACTAAGAAATGATCAATTGGAGCGCTGCGTACCAGTGAGTGATGCCAAGAGGGATACGTGTCAAGTAGCGTTGGCGAATCTTGCAGAAGAGTTTAGTAACAGTAAAGCAGATAAAACCGATTATCCCCTCAACGACAAGCATATGGCAGCCATCAGGAAAACAAAGAATGACAAAGATATAATAATCAGCAGGCCGGACAAAGGGAATGGAGTGTTGATAATGCAGCGAAGTGATTACAATGACAAGATGAATGCTATTCTGGCTGATGCATCGAAGTTTCAACTCCTGGGACCGACGGAAACGCATGACCGCACTTACCTGGATGAACGCGCCTTGCAGGCATACCTATTTCGATACAAAAAGGCTGGAAAAATACTCAATATAGATTACGACCGGATCCGACCTGTTGGCTCGTGCCGACCTGTGCTCTATGGCGTACCGAAAATACATAAGAAAGACGTGCCGCTTCGACCAATCCTGTCCATGATCAATGCTCCCCAACACGAAATGGCAAAGTGGTTAACTGAATTACTAAAACCAGACCTCAATAAATATTCCGCCCACGCAACTAAGGATACCTTCGAGTTCGTGGATGAAGTAAGGGAATTTCGCCAGCAGCAGGCAGAGAACTCTGGATCGCTGTTCCTTTGCTCTTTCGATGTAGTCAGCCTCTTAACAAACGTGCCTCTCAAGGAAACAATAGATATCTGCATACATCCGCTATACCATGATGATGAAATATCAGCCCCGCAAATACCCCAAGATCTTTGCAAGAAGCTGCTTTTCAAAGCCACATCAGACGTGCAGTTCAGTTTCAATGGCAATATGTACGCACAGAGGGACGGAGTAGCCATGGGTTCACCCTTGGGCCCCGTGCTAGCCAATATCTTTGTTGGATATTTTGAGAACACAATTCCAGACAGTCATTGGCCCCAATTCTATAGGCGTTATGTGGATGACACATTCGCAGCATTTCAAAACCGGAAACTGGCATTGGAATTCTCTGAGCGTTTAAATAATCTTCACCCAGCTCTCCAGTTTACAATGAAGGAGGAGAATAATGGAGAATTGCCGTTTCTTGATGTATTGATTAAGCATTCTTCCACAGAATTGCTCACCACATTATATAGAAAGCCGACGTTCACAGGTCTTTACACCCGCTGGGACTCGTTTTGTGACACTAGAAACAAAATCAATTTGATCAGATCATTAACTTTCAGAGCTAAAACCATCTGCTCACCATCACTATTATCAGCTGAAATTGCTAAGCTAGAGGATATTCTGTGTTCTAACGGTTACCCACTCAAAGTACTCAAGCGAGTCATGACAAGCGTCCTTGAACCTAGCCCAGATACAGCTTCTGCACAACTTGAACCTGCAACGCGTGTTATCACAAAATTGCCGTGGAAAGGGCAAAATTGCATTGCCTTCCGCAAAAAGATTAAAGCTGCAATTTTGAACTGCTATCCTACAGTATCCCCCATTGTAATTTATACAACCAGGCCCGCATTCAGGTCTATCGCAAAGGATGTTTCACCAACTCTTGAAAATAGTAATTTTATTTATAAGTATGCGTGTCGCTGTGAGCGAACGTACGTTGGTGAGACATGTCAGGGATTTTCGGAAAGGATCAAGCAGTATATCCCAGACAAGCTGTACAAGAAGCCGCCTGACAAACGTGTGGCAACAAGTGATAGCGCCATCACAAAGCATTTGCAGGCGCAACCTGAATGCATCCCGCAAGAACGCAACAGCAGCTTCAGTGTCATCACACCAGCCCGGAACAGCGCGCACAGATTCACACTGGAGGCGCTGTACATTCGCAGTTTGAGGCCAGAGCTGTGTCGACAAAAGAAGCACATCAAGGTGCTGCGGCTGTTCAAGTTGCAACCGGACTGACAACTTTATCACGTGTTTGTTCTGGTACTGCATTCCCTTCATGTGTTGTTTCCCGCATTTTTCCACCGCTCCATACATTCTTATGGTAGTGTAGTGTGAACTTGAGGCGCGTAAGAATATTCTTGCTGATTCTCTACCCCCAGTATAAATTCTGGCTTCGTTTTCGTTCTTGCTCATTCCCATGTATCTACTGATGAAAATGAGTGAAAAGCTTTTAGTATTATGAAACTGACAACCTTGTTGTTGTGTGTATATAAATTTTGTTCGCCTACCTCTCTGTTTAAAACATATACATATATAAACAGAGAGGTAGGCGAACACAATTTATATACACACAACAACAAGGTTGTCAGTTTCATAATACTAAAAGCTGTTCACCCATTTTCATCAGTAGATACATGGGAATGAGCAAGAACGAAAACGAAGCCAGAATTTATACTGGGGGTAGAGAATCAGCAAGAATATTCTTACGTTCAAGCTGCAACCGGACTGACAACTTTATCACGTGTTGTTCTGGTACTGCATTCCCTTCATGTGTTGTTTCCCGCATTTTTCCACCGCTCCATACATTCTTATGGTAGTGTAGTGTGAACTTGAGGCGCGTAAGAATATTCTGGCTGATTCTCTACCCCCAGTATAAATTCTGGCTTCGTTTTCATTCTTGCTCATTCCCATGTATCTACTGATGAAAACGGGGGAAAAGCCTTTAGTATTATGAAACTGACAACCTTGTTGTTGTGTGTAAATATATTTATCACTCTTCTATATCGACCTCACTAATTCTCGTGATCCTTGACTGGTCCTATATTACCCATATCGCCGCAATATCGACGGCTTATATCGACCGCTTGTATCGACCACTTAGGCATTGTAATCTTTCGACTTTGGAGGGACTTAGAATTTTTCTCTCCACTTCAAAAAGAAAAATTGAAAGAAAGAAGACAAAGGAAGAGAACAAGCAGGATTCGAACTCACAACAGTATGAATCTCAAGCAACCCCTTATACCAACCAGCCACTGTGCTGCAGATGCTGAACCCTGTTGTTCTTACAGTCTTGTACCCAAAATAGGCAACATCCTTTGTACACTATAGTACAAATGCTATACTAAAAAGGTTAAAATAGCTCCTAAAGGTTCAAATTTTGGGGTTATGGCAAAGGAATCGTGATAAATAGGATATTGACCTTGACTTCGGTCTATATGGGAAATATAGGCCTCGTAAAAGACCTCGGCAGACCTCGGTCCTTTACTCGGATTATATTTCCCATATAGACCTCGTCTTGGTCAATATCCTATACATATATATATATTATATATACTCAATCTGCGGACAGAACTGTTTCGTCCTTTGTGGACTCGTCAGCGCAGCACAGAGCAAATGAGGCCGAACCTGATAGCAATGGAAATAAATATTTCCAATCAGGCCCGAACGTACCTTGCCAGAGTGCTCAAACTGACAAGTCAGTGAGCTCTGTATAACACAAACAGCAATGGCACTACCCCACGCAAGAGTGCTCAACTGCTACAAGAGCAGGAGCGAAATACTCAATCTGCGGACAGAACTGTTTCGTCCTTTGTGGACTCGTCAGCGCAGCACAGAGGAAATGAGGCCGAACCTGACAGCAATGGAAATAGAAACTTCCAATCAGGTCCGATATATATAAATAGAGAGGTAGGGGAACAAAATTTATATACACACAGCAAGGTTGTCAGTTTCATAATACTAAAAGCTTTTCACCCATTTTCATCAGTAGGTACATGGGAATGAGCAAGAACGAAAACGAAGCCAGAACTTATACTGGGGGTAGAGAATCAGCAAGAATATTCTTACGCGCCTCAAGTTCACACTACACTACCATAAGAATGTATGGAGCAGTGAAAAAATGCGGGAAACAACACATGAAGGGAATGCAGTACCAGAACAAATACGTGATAAAGTTGTCAGTCCGGTTGCAGCTTGAACAGCCGGACTGACCGGACTGACAACCTTATCATGGATATTCTGTGTTCTAACAGTTGCCCACTCAAAGTACTCAAGCGAGTCATGACAAGCGTTCTTGAACCTAGCCCAGATACAGCTTCTGCACAACTTGAATCTGCAACGCGTATTATCACAAATTTGCCGTGGAAAGGGCAAAATTGCATTGCCTTCCGCAAAAAGATTAAAGCTGCAATTTTAAACTGCTATCCTACAGTATCCCCCATTGTTTTCCGCATTTATAGTACAGCAGTACACGATCACAATGTCCAGACAAATAGCTGTTTCGACCTTGTTAGGTCTCGTCAACGGAGCTCAGAGTTACAGGCCAAATCAATCGCAATAAAGTCTAATGAAGAACAAAGCATTTTCACACAGGCTCTAAGCATCAAGGTCAGAGGGCACCAGCTGTGATAAACACAGCGAGCTTTGTACCAGGGCAGATAACTTTGACACAAACCAGACAGAAACGAGGGAGCGTAATACTCTAGAGGTAGTACATTCATGACTTCTGTTGTCCCTGAACGTCTATTACAATAATTACTTGAACTGTTTACCAAGTATGCAACACATGACAAAAAAAGGTGCTATATACATGTAGGCTGTTCAGACTGGTCAGTGGAAAATTCTAACATAGATCTGTAGGAGTTAGTCAGTCCCAATAGTTTTTAATGCTCCTCCACACTAGGCACACCTTTTGGTTGACAAAGAGAAGAATGTATGTAGGTCTTCCGTCATGCAAGAGCATTAAGATACACACGGCAAAAATGACCTTGAGGGCTAGGATTGAGTTGAGTTAAAGTTGATTTGAATACCTAGACCGTCTGCCGACCCCGGCTAGGTAATCCGAGAAAACCGTTTACGTCTCACGTCAACTGTAACCTTTCTGCACGCTTTTGTTCAGCTTTCATTTGAAGGCATTTGTGGGCGCGGGCCTCGTAGTGACATTGCTATCGATGACATAGGCTTCGAAGACGACTGCTCTTCTGGAAACCCATCTGCCAGCTGTAAGTTATGTTCAACATATCTGTATATTGCTGGTGATGTCAGGTGGTGATGTCAAGTGGTGATGCCGGGTGGTGATTTCCTAGGAGCAAGATGGGAGTTGCATCCATTGCGGCATCATTATCACAGCGTATGTGTATGTGTGTACGTGTATGTGTGTGTATGTGCGTGCGTGCGTGTGTGCGTTCGTGTGTGTGCGTGTATGTGTGTGAGATGCGGTTCTTTCAAACACTTATTTCTTCACTTGTGCACACACACGCACATGCACACACAAACACACACACACACATGGACAAATACGCATTCCCAAATGTACACACATTCACAAACGTACACACATTTACAATGTGGATTGTGCGGATTGCTGCGGATCGTCCAGCATGGAACGCGCTGGTGAAGAGTGTTTGTGCACACCCCCGTGACGAGTAGAAACAGCCATGGCACCCTTATAAACTCATAACAACCATTCTATATGTGGAAAAGAAAAGGACATATGGATACGAGTTTAGAGTAACTCTCCATCACTGTAACTAGATACTATTATACAGTCAGAAAGTTCAATGACTAGGCACAAAACTGACAGAGTACTGAGACATTCGACGTCTTGACACCTAGCTTCAACACATCTCCGTAGCGCTAACCGACAGCCTTCCAACTTGGAAGGTTCAAGGTTATGAAAAGACCAAAGAGGGGAAGGCAAGCGCAGTTAAAGTGATGGAGAGTTACTCTTAACTCGTATCCATATGTCCTTTTCTTTTCTACTAGGGGTGAAACAATTATACCGAATACTCGAGTACTCGCTCGGTTTTTTTCAGAAATAATCGTACTCGGAATAAATCAAAGTACTTGTTCATACGGTACATGCATTTACCACAGAAATCTGCAGTTTGAGAGCAGCAGTCGGCAGATATTGATTTGCAGACTGTGTGGTGAACATTTGTTCACGAGTAGAGAGAGCCCAAATGACCCAGCAACCAATATACCAGAGAAAAATGACTGCCACTCGGTTCAATCAGGGTTGTATCATGCGATTTTAAGGTGGCAGTACCCCTTTAAATTACCTGTTGCGAGAGATACCAGAAGTCCAGTTTGGCAGGTCATAGACCAGTAAAACTTTGGCAATGGTCTCATAATGCATCTGGCCATGCGCACAAGAAAATTTAGAGCTCTATGATGGTTAGAAATGGTAAAATCAGGTTCCAGAAAAAAGACGGGCATATCGCACATATCTACAAAACTCAAGCCACAAGGGCAGGCAGAAAAATCTATAACACAAGGGCGGTCATGCTTGTGCAGATGTACTATGGGTAGAGGCAGGTGCCAAACCTCAAATTTTAGTGAAAGAGAGAACATGAAGGAACACCCAGAACAGCCAAAAGTAGAATTAACGGAACGGCAAAAGTTCTTACAAATCTTCAAGCAAGCCAAGCCAAAAGATGGTCAGTTTCTTAGTACAGATGTGAGGTTCAGCACCTTGGAAATTGTGTGTAGATAGGAAAAATGCCCTACATTGTGGCAGTGTGATGCACCAATCTAGAGATATGATGGCTCACAGCAGCCGCTATACATGAAAATAGGCCTAAAATCAGCAAAAAAAGGGACTCTTCAAAACCCACCGGCAGCATATGTTTCGCCTTCCGTCTCCTTCGCGTGGTCCTCGAAGCCCTTCTTCACAGCTCTCCGGTGTTTCCTTGCTTTCTTCTCTTTGTCTGACATCTTCCTCTTTCTGTGGTACTCTTTGTCTTGGTCTAGCATAGCCAGATTCTTCTTCAATTGTGCACCCACTGAACAGCCCATGCGACGTACAACATCAGCCAGGCTCCCATGTCCTTCATTGAAGAGCAACACTGCTAGGTACACAGCAGTTTCAACAGTCTGTGAGCCACAGAACATCTCTTTCGGGCATAAGTGCCAAATCATGGAGTTCAAGGCTTCATTCACATTCTGCGTGGCGCCACGGGTGCAGCGTTCCAGCAGCTGTAAGTCAGTCAGACGCATGTACAGTGGCTTCATTTCTTCAAACACAGCAAGTGGTATGGTATTGCTGGAAGAGACTGCACCTGTGCTTGCTTCACTGTGGCTGGACGGGGCTTTTTCTCGTTGATATCTGCACCATGATGTGGTGGCTTCTGGACAGAACTGATGTCGCTTTGTGAGGTCTGGGAATTCCACGCTGTGGCAAACTGATGCCCAGATAGCACGAGCCATACCTGATGTTGAGCCGGGATTGCTGCGGATGGCTGCGCCATAATAGTTCTGCAGAGAATCAATTTTGCTGCCAGTCAATCTTCCTTTTCCGCCAATCGGCTTCCCATCAGATAGTGGCTTTGACCCACACTTCTGCTTCAGAGTACGTAAGTTGTGGCCAACACGCTTTTGAACGTGGCCAACACACTCCTCCTTATCAATGTCACCATATGGCTTCAGCTGACATACACTGCGGTAGGCCTTCGAATCCCCATCACCAATGTAGCTTGTGTACGCTCGGTGTGCAATTTTAAGGAGATGAAAAATACTCGAATACTCGAATATTCGATCGGAGAAAATCAGAGTACTCGAACTCTGGATCTCAATGCCAACTTTCACCCCTATTTTCTACATTTATTAATGGCTCAACATCCGAGTTTCTAACCATTCTATAATAATTATTACTATTTGAATCTTTTAATAACTATCTGGAAACTCAACCTCGTACATTATAATTATCTCGCCACCCATTGACCATGATGCTATATGAAGAGACAATAAAGATGACGTTTCCCCCAACGACACCAATGTTATGACGCTCCATGTTACTCTATGTTACTGAAGTACTAACTTTGGTCATTGGTTTGTAGAGCCCCATTCTCTAGGAGATATCTACATCTGCTCTGTTTCAATGTCCAGCTTAAGCGAACTTGTGGATCAAGCATAACTGCTTGGTTGACGCTGCCGTGGATATGCGTATAATAATAAACGCATTCACAAACGTACACACATTTGTATTTGTATTTGTATTTATATCATTATCTCATGGCAAATCATGATGACGGCCAGTAAAAATGGAGACAAGGGTGAAAGCCAACCACAGCAGTAAAACAGATAAAAGAATACAAAAAAGGCGAAGAAGGCAGGAGACAAACCAGCAGTATGTCATGCAAATACATGAAACCTATAATTGAGCAGAGATTTTAGCAACAAAATTATCCATCGACGTGCAGGTCTTGGCCTGCGTTGGCAATGTTGCTCAAAACACATAGCCAGCAAAGATCAGGGATTTAGTGAATAGGGTGGAGGCAGCGCGTGGAAGGCGGAATGAGTTCCAGGTATTCCGTGTTTCGGAGAACCAATTATATGCCTCCATATGCAAGGGTATTTTATTTAGTACATGTAATATTTTTTGTATGAGAACACAGGGGTGGTACCTATGTCGAGTGGAAAGAGGACTGATCTTGGCAATTTCGTAAAGGCTACCGGAGGGCAAGCGACGATCTTTGCTTAATAAGATTTTAAGGAGCATGCGGTTATGGGTTTCTAGCTTGTTCAATACAGTAGTAGTTATGCCAGACCAAGCAGTATCACAGTAGTCAAGTAAGGGCAATATAATGCAACGATAAAACAAGCTTTTTCAAGAAAGAGGAAGGTGTCTACAGTGGGCTTGAAGAGCCCCAAGGATGGAGCTTGTGCGCTTGCAGACATACTGCACATGGGGTGAGCACGACAATTTGAAGTCAATAACAACGCCAAGATGCTTATGCTCTTCAACAATACGAAAAGCAACACTTGAAGAAGGAAAACAAAGTGGCAGGGAAGGGGGAGAAGGGGAAATGTACAGAACAGGGACAAGGTCTTGGTCAGCGGTAACTTTCCTCGTGGAGAGCTGTTTCATCCCCCTACACACCTGGCTTGCGCTGATAGGAGTGAAGCTGAACTTCTCGGCTAGTGGCAAGGGTTTGGTATTGCATGTCCACCGGGATTAGGCAGGCTTGAGTTTTTTGAGCTCCGTAGGTTTTCGTCGTTATTTCGCAGCCCACCCGGCATCAGGCCGGAGTGGAGCCCTTAGGAGTCGTAGTGTAGAATCGTAGCTTAGTGTAGAGTAGGTGATATTTTGAGTAGCTGTCACTCCCTGACCTACTCTCCGCCATGGACGAGCTGGCAGGTGAACCCCTGAGACTTCTGTGCAGTCTCCCAGGCATTGAAGCCAATGTCATCAGCTTGATCCAGCAATTGTCGTCGTATGTTAGTGAGTCTAGAGATAGAGAGGAGCGCGTGAAACGGCGTGTGGATGAGCTATGTCACGGGACACGTTTCAGATTTACGAGGCGAACTGAGCTCCTTGAGGCAGTCCGCCATTGCCCATGTCGACCAACAGCAACAAAAAGGCGAGGAGGTCAAGGAGAGTGCAGCTAGTAGTACGAATAGTACCCGTACGCTAACTGGAAAGTCTAAGCCGCGCACAAATACTAGTAGTGAAAAATGCCAAAGCAGCAGGCAGAACACGTGGGAACGCACACTGAACCCCGTACCCGTAGCGCTGCCACACCCTGGCACGCAGGCAAGACGATGCCCTCAGTGGACACGGAAACGGAGTACAATGTCATGTACGAGTACAATGTCATGTACTCTGACGCAGAGGGTACTGAACTCCTGCCAGTCAAGAACTCCAAGCCTGTGTTCAGCACCATCACGAACGACTCTTGGAAGTTGGTCTCTGCAGGACCACCCAAGACCAAGCGCTCTGTTGCCTATGTGGGCAACATCTCCCCAGATTGCACAGAGGACCGCCTGAAACAGTTCATCATGGACAGAAGCGAACAGGCAATGTCAGGCTCTTCCATTCCCGTGCATACCTGCAGTGTACATGTAGGAGAGAGTGGACGAGTATCAGCCAGAGTCACTGTAGATGCCACCTCCATGCCTATTGTGACCGCCCCCAACTTCTGGCCTAGGCCTTTGTACTGCCGACCGTGGTGCTTCTCCAAAAACTCTGGCGGAAACCGCAGCAGCAACAGCAAAAACAGCAGCAGCAGCAGCAACGACAACAGCAGCAGCAACGACAACAGCAGCAGCAGCAACAGCAGCAGTGACAACAGCAGCAGCAGCGACAACAGCAGCAGCAACAGCAGCAGCAGCGACAACTGCAGCAGCAACAGCAGCACCACCGCAGAATCTTCCGCACAACAGGCAAACACCACTGGCAACGCAAGCAGTGCAGATGAAAGGGACAGTGAGGATGGAAGCTCTGCCGATGCAGGTACCTCGAGTCGGACTCCAGGGATGAAAGCTCGCTCCCACCAGCGAGATTCACCACCTGCAGACCAAGCAGCCAAGTACTCTGTCTCAGTTGGCAATGCGTTTGCACCCCTAAGCCGGTAATGACCAACAAAACCCTGAAACTGTTCGTAACAAATGCCTTTGGGCTAATGAGTAAGTTAGATGAATTCCGCCATGTGCTCCATGCTGAATTCCCGGATGTTGCCATAGTAACATAGTCTAAGCTGTCAGATGCTGTGACTCAAGCAGAGTTGACACTCCCTGGCTACTTCCAGCCTCTGAGACGCGACCGAAACCGCCATGGTGGCGGGGTGGCAGTTTGGGTGAAGGCCACGCTAGCCATGAACGAACTGGATACCATTGATGTCTTCGGCCTGGAGCTAGTATGGCTAAACGTCAAACTGTCAACTGGCCGGCCTGTGGCTATATGTGCTGCATACCGTCCTGGAACTTGCTCAGACACAGACACCAGCATCTTTGACGTGATCTGCAGGGGCCTCACCAACACAGCCTGCCACAACTCTGCTGTGATAGTTGCTGGAGACTTCAATGTACATAACCAAGAGTGGCTCCACAGTAGCAGAACAACTAGAGCCGGCGAGCATGCAGAGGACATGTGCTACATGCACAGTCTTGAGCAGCTAGTCGACCAACCAACGCGTGACCGCAACACACTGGACCTGATTATGTCCGACCTACCCGTAGAATCATGGCTACTGTCTTGCAGAGAGCACGCTGCCAAGTACCGGAACCCGTCCACCATGTCAATCCTGCTGTCACCACCGAGTTGAATGGGATCAACTGATGTAGGTTGAGCCACCGCCATGCCCTTCTTCTTTCTAATGCTGACGGTCAGTCCCCATCGCTGTGCACAGAAGATGAATTCGAACGTCATGCACTCAAATCTCTCTGGTGGTTGCATACAACGCTGCATCATCGGCGAACTGGGACTCAGTCACCCTCGTCGTGGATAACCGGGACTTGGCCGTGCGGTCCCCAACCAGCTTGCGACCGTTTCTGAACAGCAGGTCAACTCCAGCGTCTGGACAACGTGCGCGCCAGTCCGCAACCACCACACTGAAATACAGGTTGAAGAGGGTTGGTGCTAGGGTACATCCTTAACGCAGCCCATTAGTCACAGAGATGTTGTCGGAAAACTCACAAACGTACACACATTCACAAACGTAAAGACTTTCACAAACATACACCCATTCACAAACGTACACGTACATTTGCCACATACATTTGCACACGCACATTTGCACACGCACATTTGCACAAGCACATTTGCACATGCACATTTGCACAAGCACATATGCACACGCACCTTTGCACATGCACACACACACACACACACACACACACACACACACACTCACACATTTGCACACACACACTCGCACATTTGCACACATACACTCACACATTTGCACACACACATGCACATTTGCACACACACACACACACACACACACACACACATTGGTGCGTCCATGGAGCTATGAAGCCGAGACCTCTGGTCGGCGGAGCTTAATGGGCCCAACCACCACACTCGATCATTCACCCCAGTGTCTGGAGATATGTGGATTTTGTAGAAAAAAAAGAAAAAACATGCACATTTGCATACGCACTCGCACAAACACACATCGACATTTGCACGCACACACACACACGCACATTTGCACACACACACACATCCACTCACGCACATTTGCACAGACACGCACATACACACACACGCACTCACACACACACACGCTTTTCGAAGCAACATACCCAATCCATTCACATGTAACAACTGTAGAGCTACTGGGTACTAGAAAGATGTATAATGCCAAGGCACTTCTCCGCTGAACTTGACATTCTGCATGCAAATCCTATTATTTCAGTTTCCCAGTGTCAACATGTGTGTAATTATGTTTAAACAGGTAATGCGCTGGGTAGTTTGCTGATCGCTCTTACCGATGTTCATAACCAAACCTCATACGACCTGGTGGTTACAACGATCGCTGCTAACAACACTCCTGAAGTTGTCACTCTGTACAACCAGGTGCTGTCATCCACTTATCATCCTAGCGCTATTCCAGCAGACCTTGCTACCACACAGGTCATAGTTGCTGTGTTTGCAGTGGGCACTACAACACCTCTCAATGTCTACATAAAGGGTGATACCTGTGTGTCCGTACAAGGGAGTTGTTGGTTAACTTTCCAAAGCTTGCACTTCAGCCCTCAAGTCTCAGCTTCGTGGAACCTTGCTGTAGTGATGTGTGCTCCTTCAAACACCAACTTCTTCCAGTGAAAATGCGACGAAATGCTGACTGCTGATTGGTCCATTTAGCATTTTTGAGGCCGTTCAGCACCCTCGCTTTTCTACGCACTAATGTGAATCCTGAGTGTGCATGCTAAGTGCAGACTCGGGAGTGACAAATGATGCAAGCAGTCTTTCATGCGACGACTTGGAAAAATCAAGGAGATCACGGAGACATAATGTGTATGTGCATGTGTATACGAACCTGTCCCTCCTCTGTAGATGAATCTGAGGTGACCCAGAACAACTTGCTCGCAATGATGAAGGACTCGCGCAATTACATGATGCAGGGTATGGTGGCCGGCAGGGCTGCTTCTCCAACTCGCCCTCTTACTGCTCAAACCACCTGGAAGGTTGCTGGCACACCTACCCCTACTGCTCATTATCGCATCTTCAATGCTGATTGCTATGGTTCAAGTCCTCCTGATACTTGTACTCGGCCAACATACACAGCCATCTCCGTGAATGCCAGCTCCCTTACTTTTCTGACGTATGGTGTTTACGAGGTCGTCTTCCAGGTCACCACAGGCTCTGGACCGACGGCGAAAACTAAATACATTACACCACCTCTCCGCCTCACTGTCAACACTGACATCATACTGGGACAGACACGTAAGTTTGTTATTTTAAAACCCATTTTCCGGTCTAATTCAATGTAAATGAGGGATGGTTATGCAAACACATGATTGTGCATACAACCAATCGTGACCCTAGAACGATTTCGCGCTAAAGAGGTTAAAGACCTTTACGGGTCTATCTCAATGTATATGAGGATGGTTACACAAACACATGTGCATACTATCAGCTGTAACTATAGAACTATTTGATGTAGGTAAGGATACTTTCAAAATCTGTATATCTGACTGCGTCCAGCAAGCACAGGCATGACTAGGCTCATATGGTAGATATTGTCTTGACTTTTCTGGTCAAACTTTCAGCTATCAAGTTTGTCTTCCTTTCAGCTGTATACCCCATGTCTCATACCTGATCTTCCTCGCATCCCCGCCTTTGTCTCTGTGTTTTCCTTTGCAGCTGTATGCCCACTTCCCACTGCTGTCTCTCCTATGGTCAATGTACCGTGTACCTGCAAAGATGGCTTCAGCTGGAATTCTACACGCTGTAAGAGCATTCTTTTGTGTGTGTGTGTGTGTGTGTGTGTGTGTGTGTGTGTGTGTGTGTGTGTGTGTGTGTGTGTGTGTGTGTGTGTGTGTGTGTGTGTGTGTGTGTGTGTGTGTGTGTGTGTGTGTGTGTGTGTGTGTGTGTGTGTGTGTGTGTGTGTGTGTGTGTGTGTGTGTGTGTGTGTGTGTGTGTGTGTGTGTGTGTGTGTGTGTGTGTGTGTGTGTGTGTGTGTGTGTGTGTGTGTGTGTGTGTGTGTGTGTGTGTGTGTGTGTGTGTGTGTGTGTGTGTGTGTGTGTGTGTGTGTGTGTGTGTGTGTGTGTGTGTGTGTGTGTGTGCCGAGTGTGTCCCATATGGTGCAGTGGTATGTGCAGTCGATTTCCAATCGAGAGGTTGCGGGTTCAATTCCCGACGATTATGGTCGCACACGTCTTTCTTCTCTTTCTCGGACTCTTCCTGACTTTTCTTTCATTCTCCTGGGTGGTTACCAACAGCCAGTGTATGCCGGAGTATGTGGTGTGGTGTGTGTGTGAAGAGAAAAAAGGGAAAAATGAAAAATAGGGATTCACTGGCAAGAAAAAGTCACTTCAAACAGCTGTGTGGTGGATACCAGGCTAAAAATAGTGGCGGTCAATTCATTAGCCTTGCAAGCTGTTGAATGGTGTAATACCAGCACAAGTTGCTATGTCTTACATAGCTGCTCGCTATCATCGCTTCCGCGATGGGCATGTCTGAGGTCTGAGGTGTGTGTGTGTGTGTGTGTGTGTGTGTGTGTGTGTGTGTGTGTGTGTGTTTCACAAAGACCACTTAATGCCAAACATGAGATGCAGCTAGGGGAAGCACGCACAACCTGAATCGTGGCAGTGGTGGTGAGGTTTAGGGAGCTCCGCCGACCTAGGGTCTCGACTTCATAGCCACCTAGACGCACCAAGAGTGGGTGGGGAGGGAGAGAGAGAGAGCAGGAGAGAGAGAGAGAGAGAAAGAGAGAGAAAGAGGGAGGGAGAGAGAGGTTGCGAGTGTGTGTGTGAGTGTGTGTGTGTGTGTGTGTGTGTGTGTGTGTGTGTGTGTGTGTGTGTGGTGTGTGTGTGTTTTGTTCCCTCTGGTGACGGTTTGAATTTTCCGAGCCCCCTGGTTGTCAAAAGTAGTTAGTTCCACGAGTCTCCTGGGGCGGCTCTGGTCCACCAGGGCCGTCCCAGGACATGTGATTCTCAGCGCAAGAGAGAGTTCAGGGCCAGCGCAGCAAGAAGACGGGGTGTCGAACGATGGCACCACTTCTTGTTGCGCCTGAATCTCCCACTCGCGGCGGATTGGCAAACCCCCGAGTGGACAGAGACCAGCGCTTCAAAAAATCTGCCCAAGCACGGAGAGAGGAGGAGACGCTGCCTGATCCGCGTCGGATCCTGGAATGTTCGTTCTCTCGTTGAGAGCGAAGGGAACATCGAAACGGCAAGTAATCAAAACAAGGTTGTTGAAGACAGGAAACTGGACCTCGTCATCTCCGAACTACATCGACTCAGCTTGGACGTCGCTGGTGTACAAGAAACACACTGGTTTGGTGAACATCTATACTAGGACGACAAAGGAAATACAGTGATAACGTCTGGGCGAGCTGTGGACGCAAATACCCATCGTCGTCGAGGAGAAGGAGTTGCTCTAATACTCAATAAATTTTCGTCCCAGAACCGCCCAACAACGGATGAACGTGCCAAGTTTCCACTAATGTGTCAGCACTGCTCTCAGAGATTTCGTCAGTCCAGGGACCTGACCCGGCACCGGCGTGTTTGCTCCTTTCCCTCCTCCCGCAATGGGACCACGTAACCTTTAAGGCAGTGGGTCAACAGGACAGGACAGGACAGGACAGGTGTGTGTGTGTGTGTATGTGTGTATGTGTATGTATATGTCTATACAAAAGAGAACGACCAAGGACGTACCAGTTATGCTATACAGTACACTAACACCACCAGTTACTAAACAATCAGCTCATGCGATAACATTGCACGACACTGACCGACGGTACTGACGTTCTGCAACTAACTGGGTAACAGCTCTAGCACATCTTGGAGGCGCACTCCGACAGCCTTCCAACTCAACAGCCTTCCAACTTGGAAGGTTCTAAGTTGTAGAAATAACATAAGGAGGGGGAGGGGAGCGCAACCAAGATAAATCAAACCTTGGCTCTTCATCCGAGTCCAATCCTGCATATGTGGAAGTGTATGTGTATGTATGTATGGGCGTGTGTGTGTGTGTGTGTGTGTGTGTGTGTGTGTGTGTGTGTGTGTGTGTGTGTGTTGCCAGCTAGTTCGGTTGGTAGGTACACTTATGCCTGATTGCGTTGGGTCTGTTGCCAACAGGCTCGGCTGCTTGAAGGTGTAATGTTGTACCTGCCACCTTTGTTGGTTCCAGGGTTCATATACTTTCTATTTGAAGTATACATACCTGTCAACCATGGACTGCTTCTGGCTAGATTAACTCTTGTGTAATCGATGGTGCTAGTGAGGCTTTTATCAGATCCACTCTGATTTAGCCACTCACACTAGTAGCAAGTATTACCTTCACTGGGGGCAGGGGTAACTGCAGTTGGATCCCGGGACGGATACCCTGATGCCGTCAATCCTTTTTCTGCACCTTGTCCTCACCCACTTACTGAGGTGTGGTGAGCCCATAAGTGGGGTCATTTTCAAGTCCACCCAGAGTTTTGGGGATTTCAGGGGGTGTCGGTCGTTGGGCGGTTCAATAACCAATTGAGTCATCTTTCCAAGATTCCTTTTGAGTCTCTCCCCCCTCTCCCGGGGGGACTCACGTGACCAGTTTTGGTAGTGAGCAACAAGTACAAGTACAAGTGTGTGTGTGAGTGTGTGTGTGTGTGTGTGAGTGTGTGTGTGTGTGTGTGTGTGTGTGTGTGTGTGTGTGTGTGTGTGTGTGTGTGTGTGTGTGTGTGTGTGTGTGTGTGTGTGTGTGTGTGTGTGTGTGTGTGGATGTGTCAGCCAGTTCACATATCTCGGCTCAGTGGTAACACCAGACGGACGATGCCATACCGATGTGTCCAACCGCATAGCTGCTGCATCTAAGGCCTACAATTGCACACGCACATATGCACACGCACATTTGCACATGCACACAAACACACACAATATTGGGCACCATTGCCCGTTTGGTCTGCGATACAAAATAAAATTTCAACAACAACAACACATACACATTTGCACACACACATTTGCACATTTTTCACACACACACACATGCACATTTTCACAAACACATGCACATTTTCACACACACATGCACATTTTCACACACACATGCACATTTGCACACACACATGCACATTTGCACACACACATGCACATTTGCACACACACATGCACATTTGCACACACACATGCACATTTGCACACACACGCACATTTGCACACACACACACGCACATTTGCACACACCATCTACTCCCGCATATTTGCACAGACATACACATACACATACACACACACACACACACACACACGCACTCACACACTCACACACTCACACACACACACAAACACGCTTTTCGAAGCAACATACCCAATCCATTCACATGTAACAACTGTAGAGCTACTGGGTACTAGAAAGATGTATAATGCCAAGGCACTTCTCCGCTGAACTTGACATTCTGCATGCAAATCCTATTGTTTCAGTTTCCCAGTGTCAACATGTGTGTAATTATGTTTAAACAGGTAATGCGCTGGGTAGTTTGCTGATCGCTCTTACCGATGTTCATAACCAAACCTCATACGACCTGGTGATTACAACTATCGCTGGCAACAACACTCCTGAAGTTGTCACTCTGTACAACCAGGTGCTGTCATCCACTTATCGTCCTAGCGCTATTCCAGCAGGCCTTGCTAACACCACACAGGTCATAGTTGCTGTGTTTGCAGTGGGCTCTACAACACCTCTGAATGTCTACATAAAGGGTGAGTTGGCAGTGAACGTGTACCTGTGTTTCCGTGCAAGGGAGTTTTGGTTAACTTTCAAAAGCATGCACTTCAGCCCTCAAGTCTCAGCTTCGTGAAACCTTGCTGTAGTGATGCGTGCTCCTTCAAACACCAACTTCTTCCAGTGAAAAAGCGACGAAATGCTGACTGCTGATTGGTCCATTTAGCATTTTTGAGGCCGTTCAGCACCCTCGCTTTTCTACGCACTAATGTGAATCCTGAGTGTGGATGCTAAGTGCAGACTGGGGAGTGACAAATGATGCAAGCAGTCTTTCATGCAACGACTTGGAAAAATCAAGGGGATCACGGAGACATAATGTGTATGTGCATGTGTATACGAACCTGTCCCTCCTCTGTAGATGAATCTGAGGTGACCCAGAACAACTTGCTCGCAATGATGAAGGACTCGCGCAATTACATGATGCAGGGTACGGTGGCCGGCAGGGCTGCTTCTCCAACTCGCCCTCTTACTGCTCAAACCACCTGGAAGGTTGCTGGCACACCTACCCCTACTGCTCATTATCGCATCTTCAATGCTGATTGCTATGGTTCAAGTCCTCCTGATACTTGTACTCGGCCAACATATACAGCCATCTCCATGAATGCCAGCTCCCTTACTTTTCTGACGTATGGTGTTTACGAGGTCGTCTTCCAGGTCACCACAGGCTCTGGACCGACGGCGAAAACTAAATACATTACACCACCTCTCCGCCTCACTGTCAACACTGACATCATACTGGGGCAGATACGTAAGTTTGTTATCTTAAAACCCATTTTCCGGTCTAATTCAATGTATATGAGGGATGGTTATGCAAACACATGATTGTGCATACAACCAATCGTGACCCTTGAACGATTTCGCGCTAAAGAGGTTAAAGACCTTTACGGGTCTATCTCAATGTATATGAGGATGGTTACACAAACACATGTGCATACTATCAGCTGTAACTATAGAACTATTTGATGTAGGTAAGGATACTTTCAAAATCTGTATATCTGATTGCGTCCAGCAAGCACAAGCATGACTAG